CATAAGTTGATCTCTGAGAATCTTGATTTCACAGGGTTGAGTCGTGCTCTGATCATGTAACACTAGAATCATTTCAATTTATGTTTGAGAGATACATTATGTACTCATCTTTATGCCGTTATGTTTATTTGAATTATGTGGAGTATTGTCTTTTATGTCTAAGTATTTGGTTATGAATGAAGTGAGCATGAGACTTTCATTATATCTTTTATGATTAAAGTAAATATGGTGCTACATGCTAAGGTGGAAGTTTATGAAAAGTATGAATTTATTTTAAGTGTTAATGAGCATGACATATATTTGTGTGATGTTTTAAAAATTTATGTGATACCCTTCTGTGAAATGCATGATAATTACTCTGATTTATTTATATTTATTCTGCGGGGTTTAGAAGGGTGTTACATTTCTCTTTTTTTATTATTTCTTGGAGATAAATATTTAACATGTATATTTTATATTATTCAATAATTTTCTTTATTTTGTATATCAGTTGTAAATATACGTTTTTTTTATACTTATCAATAATAAACATTTATTTTTTGTTTCTTATATATATTTATTAATAAAAAAATTCTATTTATTTTATCATAATGAGGACAAAACATAATTAATATATTATAAATGTTCAAAATTTAATTTTATATATTAAAAGAATAATATATTTTTGTTACAAATATTTATTTTGTGTAAATTTTTTTATGACAAACTCAAATTATATTGATTTTTTTATTTTTTATTTAAAAGTTAAAAAACATTAAAATTTTCTAATTGATTAGTGAAAAATAAACATTTATTATGTGTGAAACTTTTATAAAAAAAATCAAATTACTGTATATTAAAATTAGTTTAATTTTTATTTAAAAACTAAAAAATATAAATCAATTAATAACATACATTTGTCCAGTGTATGTGTCACTTAGATATTGAATGATTCTTTTTTTAAAAAAAATATAATGTTATAAAATTAAAATGTAAAAAATTACGATTAGTGATTATAATAATTTTAATTTTTAATTTTGTGTCGATAATATCAAAAAATAATCATTTTAACTATGTTTTTAGTTACAAAAATATATATTATGTATGAGTTTTATAATGAAAATTTTAGTACATTATAATTATTTTTATTTTTATTTAATAAAATATGAATAGAAAAATAGTTGGTTAATGGCACATAGGGCTGAAAATGAGTTGAGTCGAGTTGAACTCGCCTCAACTCGCCTCGACTCATTATGAACTGGTTCAGCTTAAATATCGGTTCGAGTTTGACTCGTTAGGTTAATCTCGTTAGGTTCAGCTCGTTTACTTCACAGACTTAAAAGTTATTTTTAAGTATATTTTTTATATATTTGATATTTTAAATTAATACTATTTTAAAAAGAAAGTATTGAAATAAAACAAAAGTTATTTGATTAGAATTTAAGTTTGTCTCTAAAATCTACTACTTCTAAAATTAATTAATTTATATGATTCTAATTTTATTTGTATAATTACTTTTAGAAATATTTTTCTCACTTGAGAATATACATTATCAATTAAAATCGTTAGATTAAAATAAATATATGGTTAAAATTTATATTAAATCTTTAAACCTACTCTTAAAGACAATATAATCATTCTCATATATAATCGAGTTGACTCATGAACCTAACGAGTCGAACTATGTATAGTTCAAGTTCAACTCATTTAGTTAACACACTTACTTTTTCGCTCATATTTAGCTCATTAGGTTCATGAATCAAGTTCAACAAATTAATTGTCGAACCGAATTTCGAACTGTCTTCGAGTTGGTTCGATTCATTGTCAGTCCTAATAGCACATAAACATTTATCTCTACGAATTGTATTTGTATGTGTCCGAGACTTTTTCAACGACTTAATTTCAAACAATAAAAAGTCAAATTAAAAAAAATCATAATAAGTATATTATAATGGAAAAAAGTGTGATGCACTGACAGTGTAAATTTTTTTAGAATGTCAACCAATGACGACCATGCATCCCGCCAAGTCATACTGAAAATTTTTAAGTTATTATATGACATGGCAGAATAATATATTTCGATTGGGTGACAGTGTAAAACATATTTACACTGTCAGTGCTTAACAATTAAACCCTATTATAATTATGTTTATTTATTGTTCCTGTATTATATTTGCTCTTATTTTTATAGAGAATAATTGTTATGCACTAAGACAAGTAAAGATGCCTTGAAGATACAGTAGACGGTTGACTTTAACCCGGCATACTAGAAGGTTGACTTCCTGTTGGTTTCGTGCATGATCTCTTTGTAGTCTGACTCCCTTGCGAGTCCTCACCATACTTCCACTGTGAGGGATCACGATGCACATCACTCTCTTCACCGTTTCTGCTCTTTTTAACTCCCCTCTTTGGCTTGTACTTCACCGACGGTGGACACATATAAGTTGTGGATGGATGTGTTAGTTTCCGAATCTTTTTCTTCAACACCCTCTTACCTATAATATCCAAAGAATTGAAATATGTTTTTAACTCTTTACACTCTACTTCTAAATCCAGTATTGTGACACTATCGTCATGACCGCTAGCATGCTCTTGAATGTGTAATTTCTTCCAAAAAAAATAGGAATTGGTTCTAAAGGAACATGCAAGCCTTATATTTGAAAACCAGCAAGTTGACACACACAAGATAACCCATGTGTAGTTCTAATGAAGCAACCACAAATATACTTGCTTGTACCAATAAATTTTACCTTTTCTAACTCTTTTCCTGTGTGTTGTATACACTGCTTTAAAACAAAATCGTGCAAGTTGGTATAGAATGAAGTGTTATAAAGATGCTCAATGTTGACAATAATTTTTTGAAATGATACCCTGATTGAACCTACCTGCAACTTCAACACGGTGTTCACAGCATCCCATCTTCGGCATAAATCTCTCTGACTTGTAGTCAATATGTTTTTCAGTCTCCAATGAGCATTCTCCACCCTAAATCACAATAATTAAACAATAATGAGCCAACATGATAAATTATGCTTGTAATAACATCGAAAAGAAGTTTGTGTACCTGTTCGTTGTTGTGTTCCCTAAATGAGTGACTTTGCTAGTCCAAGCAGCCACAAACCTTTATTTATAGGGTGTCAACCATGTTTCATTCACATACTTAACAAACAAAAGAATATCACCACAAACAGTCTTAAAGTGCTTCAAGTGTACAAGATACTCAGTTTCTCTATTACCATACATGATGTTGTTCTATATATCTATGACATGTTCATATCTTTCTGATTTAACATACTCATTACATTTCATGCTAATATTTTTTGTAATATGGAACGAACATAACATATATGTTGAATTTGAAAACACAACTTCAATTGCATTCATCAATGCAAATTCTCGATCAGTCACAATAACATTCGGTAGCAATTTTTCAGAAGAGAACAACTCTTTGAGCTTCTCCAGTGCCCATGTGAAATTCTCCTCTTGTTCATGTTCCAAATAGGCAAACCTATCAAAAACGTCAACTTTGTTGACGTGACACCAACAATCTCAAGCAGTGGTAACTGGTACTTGTATGTTTATAATTCAAATAATCAAAAATCTGATAAATTAAAATATGTCGAAATGGTATCAAGGTATGATCAAAATGAACATTACCTATTGGACTTGTATGTACAATCAAAAATCAACACCAAGTGAAACATATTCAACAACTTCACTGAATCAGGATGTGTCCAGAAAATATCAACAACATTTTAGTCTTCCCTATATCTTGTCCAGTACATATATTTTTCTCTATGAATAAGAGTCAATATTTTTATTTCCGTCAATGTATCTCTCTTGCTCGTATTGTATGTATAATGTAGCTCTACCTTTATATACTTGGATAACACTAGTGAGATTTTCTGGATCTTTGTCTTTCAATGCAAAAACTATGTACCGTGGAGCCATGTTGTACTTCATCGTGTCATTTACAAACTGTCTCTCATGATCTTTTAGATGGCCCAATATGTCATGACCATCTAAATCCTCATATAGTTTATGATTGTGAAACCCACATCTAACCATCACATTCCAACCAATACCACTCGGCGAAGATCTCAGCCTAAAAGAACATTTCACTTTCATGCTATAAATGTCAATTGAAGATTTACTGTTTTCAGATGTATTTTTTCTTTTATCATTTCCTCCTCTCTCACAATCCATAATCAATTCATCTTTCCTACCTCGTTGACCATTTGCAGTATCGGAACGAATAGTCACAACTATAATATCATGTTACTTGCCAATATGATGTGCCCAGACTAATACTTCAACTCAACCCTCAAATATTTGTCATTTACAATACATAAAAAGTATATTATCAATATCATATAACGCCACGAAAATATTAAATTTTAACTTGTTATATAAAAAAAAACATTTTGTTTGTTGTGAAAAACTGCGTGTAAGCGCTACATAAATCTGTAAATGACTCTGCTGGCTCCGGACCGCATAGTTTTTACTCCTTACTTATTAAATCTAAAATAATTTAAAAAGACGGTTTAATTTTATAAAAGATTAAATATGATTTATTTTCCAAAGAAAGTGCCACAAATTGTAATTGTAAAAGTTGAATTAAATGGAAGCGTTCTAAAAAAAGAAGAAAGAAAAAACAAGAGTAACCAAAATGAGTTGACAATGGAAAACATTAGATTCTAAAAATGAAGATGTTAATGGTTGTCCTTTGAAATGAAATCCTGACCAGCTATTTATTCGCCTTAACATATGTTGGAAATAAATAGAATCATTCATATTTCTGACTCAATTTTACTCTCCAATTTGCTTCCCTTTTTCCCTCCCATTCCCTTGAGGTTCTTCCTCACAAAAATCTGTCATAGGGAATGCCCATTTCATCCCTCTAATCATGATCATTCTTTTTGGGGTATCCATGCATATCATTTTCTTTTTCTTTTCTTTCTAACTACTCTTTCATGTTTTGTTTCATATTCTTGTTTCTCTTTGGACAGGAAAATAAAACAATGATTACAACCTTATTTCTCTTTTCCTTGTTCCTTCATTCAACATTGGCTCAAATTCCTGCAATTCCTATAAATCCTACAGTTCCTCACCAACCTGCAATTCCTCAAAATCCTACAGTTCCTCACCAACCTGCAATTCCTGAAAATCCTACAGTTCCTCACCAACCTGCAATTCCTCAAAATCCTACAGTTCCTCACCAACCTGCAATTCCTCAAAATCCTACAGTTCCTCACCAACCTGCAATTCCTCAACCTCAAAATCCTACAGTTCCTCACCAGCCTGCAATTCCTCACCATCCTGCAATTCCTCACAATCCTGCAATTCCACATAAACCTACAATTCCACATCAACCTAAAGCTCCTATTCTTGTCAAGAAATGGTCCACATTAAGTGGTTGGTAATCCTAAACCATTGTTTATCTACGACGTAGCACGCTATGTTGTCATGTAAAACGACTCTATTTACTAATGTTTGTTATCGCAACGCTTGCAGGAAATGAACCCATTGTAATAGCCCGCGGTGGTTTTTCGGGACTTTATCCGGAAGGTACTCCGGACGCGATTTCAACATCAAAAGATATAAGCATTTTCTTTTGCAATCTTCAGCTGACAAAAGATGGAGGTGCCTTTTGTGTAACTGGTGATACCCTTGACAATGCAACAACGGTTGCATTGTTTGATCCTAAGCAGAGAGTTTACGATATTAATGGAAAGGACGTGAGAGGACACTTTTCTGTAGATTATGATACTGCTCAGATTGAAACAAATGTATCAAGTGAGTGTTATATCAATCTATTTATTTCTTATTTGAGCATTGGAAGTTAGAACTCAAAAGTTTCTCTTTACTATGAACTCCAGTGATTCAGTCCATATTTTCTCGACCCAGTTATTACGATGGTATTGAAGCAGTTCTTAATGTTGATGTTCTCTTTAATGACAAAAAACCACCCAAGTTTTGGTTGAATGTTCAGGTTCTCTCTATCTCTACATTATTTCATTTCTTTCATCAATGCGTTACATGCTAATTGAGCTTTTTCTTTGTTGCAGAATGCAGGATTCTACCCCAAACACGGAGTACAAGCAGTACAAAATGTTATAGAAATTTTGGAAGCTTGTCCAATTGCATTTGTTTCATCTTCAGATATCGGTTTCTTAAAGAGTATCGTCGGGAAAATACCCAAGATGACTAAAGTCATATTTAAACTTCGTAACGCGATAGATGTCGAACCATCAACAAAACAACCATACAGCGCTATAGTAAAGGATCTCTTGACAATCAAATCATTTGCAGCAGGCATCTTGGTCCCAAAGGATTACATATGGCCTGTTAAACCAGACAAATATTTGGGACTTCCCACAACATTAGTAGCTGATGCACATAAATTAGGACTAGAAGTATATGCTTCTGGTTTTGCTAACGATTTGACTTTGAGTTACAGTTATAACTACGATCCAACTGCTGAGTACCTTCAATTTTTCGACAGTAAAGACTCTGTTGACGGCGTTGTCACTGATTTCCCAGCTACAGCATCAAATGCCATTAGTGAGATTAGAAATCTGAAATCTCCAATTTCAAGTTCATGATTTATTTTCTTAAAAAGCAAAACCGCCTTTCAAACCTTTTTAGCAATTTTGTTGTTTTACAGAGTGCTTCGCACAGAACAACACTGCGCATAAAAAAGGACCAACTTTAATCATAAGCAGCAACGGAGCGAGCGGTGTGTACCCAGGCAGCACTGATTTAGCCTATGAGCAAGCTATAACCGACGGCGCTGACATCATAGATTGCTCAGTTCAAATGACAAAAGATGGAATTGCCTTCTGTTCAGAGTCTATAGATCTAACATTACAAAGCACTGCAATAACTAAATTCACGGGTCGATCTACCATTGTCCCAGAAATTCAACCAAAAAGTGGAATTTTCACCTTTGATCTTACATGGACCGAGATTCAATCAGTAAAACGTAAATACTTCCTTATAAATATTTAGAATTAGTTTAGTAGTAACTTCTACTAGTTCAACAATAAACTTACAAGGCATAAATTTCTTGTTCCAGCTCAAATTGTCAGCTCTCAAGGCAACGACTTTCAAAGAAACCCGGCAAATAAGAACAGTGGTAAATTTGTTACCCTTGCAGAATTTTTGGAATTGGCCAAGAAAAAGGCAGTTGTTGGCATTTTGGTCCACATACAGAATGCTGCTTACCTTGCATCAAAGAAGGGTCTTGACATTGTAGGTGCTGTCACCACAGCTTTGAACAATGCTACCTTTGACAAGCAAACCACACAGCAAGTCTTCATTCAATCAGACGACACTTCGGTCCTATCCAAGTTTAAAGATATCCCATCTTACAAAAGGGTTTTGTTCATTGAAGATGTTATAGACGATATACCAGTGCAAACAGCAGAAGAAATTAAGAAGCACGCGGACGCAGTTAATCTCCTCAAACTTTCTGTCATCAAAACATCTGACTCCTTGTTGATACGAATAACAAATGCTGTTAAAGCCTTGAAAGATTTAAACCTAAAAGTATTCGTCCATACTCTCAAAAACGAATACTTGTCGCTGGCATTTGATTATTGGTCAGACCCTACTATTGAGGTTTCTACTTACGTTAAGGCTGTCAATGTTGACGGCATCGTGACCGATTTTCCAGCTACTGCATCCAGATATATGAGTAAGTAAATTCCAATATGTTTAGCCTTCTTAATCAATCCAAGCAACTATACTCTACTTACCCATTGCACCAGTAACTATGAAGCTATTTTTCAAAAGCAAAAGTTGAAACGTTAAATACCGTTTTAAAATTTTGCAGGAAGTCCGTGTAGTGATCTTCAGTCGCGTATCCCCTTGGAACCAAAACCTGGTGATCTGTTGGATACTGTTCCAGCTGAACTGAAACCAGCAACAGAACCTCCTGTACCACTACTGGTTAACAAGGTTGTCGATCCACCTCTTCCTGAAGTGATTAACCTGACAAAAACCGAGCCTGCGGCTGCAACTACTCCTCCACCTCCTTCAGGCACAGGGGCGTTCCGTGTCAACTCCGGTAGCACCTTAGTTGCAGTTTTGGTGGTTGCAATGCTTTATGCTGATCATTGATTTTATTAAATTGGGACATTGTTACCATCTTGGATTTCATTTTTCTCTGAATATGTTTTAGCATTTGGTTATATATCTCTCAATTTGTACTATAGAATGCAAATGGCACAAGTATTAAGAAGAAACAAAAAATAATGCCTGTGTTTGGATTATTATAACTGAGATTTGAGAAATACTGAAAATATTCAGTAACACCAATTGATATCACCAGATCCAGAATCTGATTTAACTGACTCAAAAAAAAAACCTTGATTGAGATACACTATCCAGTTATTTTGCAGATTAAATAAACCTTTTCAATTAATATTACTCCATATCTTTTTTTGTACAACAGAGTACATGATAAAAACTATAAACCATTGTTCATAAAGAATTCAACACTCAACACCATAATCTTATTATGTATACATTAAAATTAGAAATTAGACTCCAATCCATGCGATAGAGCGAATTCATAATAGCCATATCCTTGTTAAAATTGCTGGCAGCATGAAAACTTGAATCTTCAACCTCAAAGTAGTTTCCCAAAATCGCCATTTCCACGTAGGGCACTGATGCAACTACTCCTTCATAGTCAAATGAAACTGAAAGCTCATATAACAACAATACAAGGTAATAAATCCCATAAACCTCTAATTACTGAAACATAATTTCAGAAACTTTAATAAAAAGAATTTAATTTATATGTTCATACAAGCAACATTAAATTCTGAGTCAGAAACTAAATCAAAAAAAAAAAAAGTTAAATATGTATAAAAACACCGGCATACATAAAATCAACCATGGTGATTTAAAAACCCTAACTTCTCTTGATAAGGAAAATGAACACAGAAATAACCGTTAATACTAAGTTGGTTAGATGATATATGGAATGAAGGAGTGAAAACTTACAGAGTAGAATCCAAACATATTCACATCTTTCACTCCATATAACTCTATCTAACTTCATGTTAAGATAAATCCATAAATCCAATAAATTAAATAATCTGTTCAGTTTAGGGTAGGGTTTCGTCTAATTTGAGGCTCAGTTTTGGTACAAAGATGAGATCGGCCATCAGAAAGAAGCGCCGCCATGGATGGCTGCAATTAATCGGGAAAAGGACAAAATAGTCAATTTCACCGAATGCCGCGCCACCGGCAAGCATACTTTCGGTGGTAATCGATCCATCTAGATCCACACTCCAAAACAATCGTCACTGCCTCTTGAGAATGAGAGAGAGAAACAGGATCTGTGAAACAAGGAAAGGGTGAAAAAGAGAAAGAACATGGCGATCAAGAGTGAGTAGTAGTAGTAGTAGTAGTAGCAAAAACGCGGGTGCGATTAGCATTACTGAGATTATTGTGAATATGATTATTATTATTATTATTATTTTGGGGACGAATGAGATTAGGAAAACTGCAAAAGCATCGATGAGAAATGCATCTCATTCTGTATAAGGAGTGTGGCTGCAGAAACCCTAATCTACTCTTCCATTTCTCAATGTTCATATTTATACAAACTTTGTTTCTTTTCTATTTTCCAATTCTACCCTTTTCATCATAATAATTATTAGTTGAAGTTTTACTATTATTAGAATTTTATTTATATTTTTCATACCTTCTTTTTTTTTTTTTTTAGACAAAATTACTCTAGAAGTCCTTAGAATATTTAATTGTAACATGTTTGTTGTTTTAAGTTTTTTTTTTACATATTAGTTTTAAATTGTATAAAGTTTATAATGTTGATTTTTTTAATTATTTCGATTCAAAAATGCACAACTGGTATTAACGGTGCCTATGTGGATGTTATGTTGCTTAAATGACATATATTTGAATATTATTTGAAATAATTTAGAAAAAAATTATTTCTTCTTCATCAAATCTCTAGAATATATGTATCAATACCCAGTGACTTCTTCTCCTGCTTTCTCCAACAATGGCTTCATACGGTACTAATTTGTCAAATTCACGTAGCCTAACTATAATTCATTGATTTCGAGTGCAAGTCATGGTAAAATCGAACCAATGTGTGCTTGTGGAGTAAAGGTTGTGATACAAACAGTGAGGAAGAAAGGGAGAAATTTTGTTAAGCTTTTTTAGGGCTGTAGAAACTTTGTGGTAAGTTTATTGATATTGTCAGCTATGTCTTATTTGATAATGCTAACGGTTAGATATTAACAGAGTGAAGGTTTAAACTGTGGTTGTAACTTTTTTGAGTGGGTTGAAAAAGGGTTCAATTGTGAAGGGCAAATAGAAATCAGCACTCAAAGAAGATGTTCAAATGCGATGAAAAGGATGCGAAAATCAACATGGCAGGAAAAAAAATGAAGATCCGTGGAGATGACTACTACACAAAAGAGATGATGAAGAACATGTTGAAGATGCTAATTTTTGTCATAATGTTTTTTGTTGTGATTATTGTAATATTAATGTGTATCTTGATCCATAAGTGGTGATTATAGTTTATGATGTTAGTGTTGTAAGACATTCTGTTAATGTGTTGTTGTAATGAATTTCTTTAATGTGATGCTTATTTTGTGTCTAATTTGTCTGTCAAATTTTATGTTGCTCAAATTTGTTGCATTAACAACATAGTTTGTGCCCATATTTGTTGCACTAAAGAAGAGTTAAAGTACATATTTTTTACACTAATGGATAATTAGATAACATATTTGTTACACTAAAGAATAGTTACACTTTAAGAGATTGAATTAACATGTGTTTAACAACTCAGTATATTGTCACATTTTATATTGCAGTAAGAACATCAACATAGTTTGTATCCATATTTGTTACACTTTAAGATACATTGTAGACATCATTGACTAAACCTAAAAGGCCTTAATATTTTTCATTAAGTAACCAAAATACCATCCAAAATACATCATATATTCATCCAAAATACATAGTAAACATCCAAAACATAAAGTGATGATTCAAATCACATATTTCTAAGTCAGCCACCTACAACCCAAAAAAATAAAAACAACTACATGATCATAGTTTAGAAAAATATAATAGTCAACATTCTAAGTGTGTTTTCTCTTTATAGGTAGCTTAGGTGTTGTCCTTCTTGGTGGCCGAAAAGTTGTTGTTGGTCCTTGAAATCTTGCAGTCCCTCTTCTTGGTTATACTCTTGTTTGGAGTGTAGTGGTGTGGTCCTTCTTTGCATGAATTCTTGTTGTTGGGTATGTTTGGGCTTGTGTTGATTGAGTTTGGGATCTTCTTGGTGATAGCCTAGTTTTAATTCTTGTCGTAGGTTGTGGTTGGGATTGTGTATTTGTGTGTTGGATTCTTCTTGGTGATAGTCTAGTTTGAAGTCTTGTAGTTGGTTGTGTTTGGGATACTGCAGGTTAGGATAGTTGTGTTTGGGACGGGGCAAGTTAGGATGGTGTAGTTTGTTTTGGTACAGTTGGGCATGAGGCTTTGTAGCGGCCAGATTTACCACACACTGAGCATTTATTTGGCAGCTTTTTTCTGCTAACAGATGTTGTATCTTTTCTCTTCTCATCATTTTTGCTCCTTCTTCTCTTAGGACTCCCTGGTGCTCTTCTTGATGGTGGTGGAAGTATGTTAGGGCATGAGGTATTTTCCCATAATTTTTTGCCATTAGTTGGGTAGATGATATGTCTGTAGCAAGTCTGATAAGTCTCCTTCCTATACATGGTAGGAATGTAATCTGCAGGGTCTTAAGCTCTACTTTGGGTGCATGCAAATGCATGGTGGCAAGGTACGCCAGTTAGCATCCAACTCCTACAAGAGCATTTCTTCTTCTTGAGATCAACTGTGACATAACTCAAGACACATATGACTTGTAGATGAATCAATTCCAATTTGTCTGAACAAAAATTAAATCAAATTTTGCTTAAACTGAGTTATAACTACACACATATTCAAAATGAACCTCAAATGCACCTTGATTTAATGTAGTTCAACCTTGCGGTCCCTTGAGTTTGGACAACAAGCAGAAGAAACATATTTTTGAATTTTTTTTAATAATGGTTAGTGGATGGAAGTACAAATGAAAGTAATATACAAGTAAGACAAATTTGGGGTATAACACTCAGATCAGGAGACAAAATCTATCTCAAGTTCCTTCACAATCTTGTTCATAACCATCTAGTTTCCAAAGTCCATATGAATATAAATCTTTCTTATTTATGAAGGATGTCAAATCTATTGGAATATCAACTTTCTTCAACATGTGAGTTTTATGCTTCATTCTTAACTTATATGTGTTACCATTTGATACACAACTACTTAAAACTTTGGTTAAATTTGATCTTAATCATGATGTTTTTTTGATCAATTGCATATGTAAGTGGAATAAAAATATTTTATGTCTTTGACTTGAGTTTGATTCAAAGAAAATTCTCAAAGTGTCTTTAAAATCATAAAAATTTGAGATTTTACATGTTTGATTTGAATCATGGATTTTAAACACATTTTGTGTTTTTGATCAAATTAGACCGAGGAAAAACTGGGTCATTTGATTTGAATCATTTTTCTAATGTCCACTTTTGTTTTATTTGATTCAAATCAAATTTTGAACATGAATCGAATCATTTACTTTTTTAATATTTTTCCTTCAAGTTTGTGGCATTTGATTCGAATAATTTTTTGTACATGATTCGAATCAAGTGATATATTTTCAAATTTCAATCTTCCTTTTATTCCATAACACTTGCTCATTTAATTCAAATCATAGACTGCTCTTGTAATGCCCGTTCATTTTTAATTTTAAATTATTTATGAATTGTTGGTGTGTCTTTATGTGGGAGTGTGTCTGAGAGCGTTGGTGGGTGTCCTTAAAGTATAAGAAACCATTTAATAAAATATGGAGTTTAATAATAATATAATATGATTAATGATGATAATTTAATAATAATAATAATTATTATTATTATTATTATTATTATTATTATTATTATTATTATTTGTTGTAATATTAGTGGATGGAATAAGTGAAATAGGGAGTTATTGGAGAAGTTGTGGGGAAAGAGAGCAAAAACACCATAAAC